ACAGACTTAAAGGTCTGTTAGGCCTGGAAAGGCTGAACTCTAAAACTCTTAGAAGATAACATATCTTCATGACTTAAGAGTAGGGGACACTTGTTTGAACAAGTCACAAGAGCATCAATCATACAGGAAAAAGAAAAGGTAAATACAACAAACCAGAACTTCTGCTCATCAGAAGACACGCCACAGAAATGTATTTGTAAGACATGTATCTATAATATATAAATCATGTCTACCAATCAACAAGGAAAAGATAACTCAGTAATGAATAGGCAAAAATACTGAACGACATTTCACAAGAGAGGCTGTCCAAATGGGAATGCCATATGGAAAGAGGCTCAACATCGTTAGTCATCAGGGAAATCAAAACCAGAGTGAGATATCACAGCATATCCACCACAACGGCTATGACTGAAAAGACAGACAAATCCAACCGGTCATGAGCGTGTGAAGAAAAAACACTCTCATGCATTGCTGAACGGGAGTATATACCGGTACAACCACTTCGTATAGCTGTTTGGTAGTATCTACTGAAGCTAAACATATGTCTACACATTGATCCAACCATTCCACTACTAGGTATTTACCCAATAAAAATGAGAGCATACATCCACCAAAAGAAATGTATACGAACATTCATAGTATCTTTACTCATAATGGTATCAAGCTGTAAACAATCCAAACATACACCCACAGTAAAATGGATGATTCAACTAGTCTATGTAGTGAGAATACTGCATACTCCATACGCAGTTGACCCTTGAACACATGGGTTTGAACTGTGTGGATCCACTTATTCATGGATATTTTTCAGTAGTAAATACTGCAGTACTACAAGACCCGTGGCTGGATGAATCTGCAGATTGAAACCATGGATATGGAACAGCAGATATGGAGAGCTGACTGTAAAGTTACACACAGATTTTCAGCTATGCAGAGGGTAGGTACCTCTAACCCCCATGTTGTTCAAGGGTCAACTGTATTACTGTACGCTTGTTAGACCTTCATTAAAAACACCAAGCAAACAAACAACCCATCCCATAGGGATATACGTGTTTTTCTGTACTGATATTGCACCCTGAATTCTTTATAAACACCGAACTTAAAGAAGAATATATATCTTTGTCCAGACAATCAATCTTTTCAATTTATATCCTCTCCATCCACAAATCAATGATATATTAATAATCTGTTAAAAAAAAGGCAAGCCACAGAGTAAGAGAAGGTATTTGTAGCATATATACTGATATGGAACCCACAACAGGACAGAACCCTGCAAACATTAGAAAAAGACAACACAAGTGGGCAAAAGTCTTCTTACTTTGTACTTTTCAGAGTCCTTCCAGTTTTTCTGAAACTATGATATACTACTCATATTTTTGTTTTTTTTTTTGCGGTACGCAGGCCTCTCACTGCCGCGGCCTCTCCCGTTGTGGAGCACAGGCTCTGGACGCGCAGGCTCAGCGGCCATGGCTCACGGGCCCAGCCGCTCCGCAGCATGTGGGATCTTCCCGGACCAGGGCACGAACCCGAGTCCCCTGCGTCGGCAGGCGGACTCTCAACCACTGCGCCACCAGGGAAGCCCACTACTCATACTTTTTAAATTAATTTTTAGTTCAATGATAATCATGAATTTATTTCCCTTGTAAAAAAACTGACATTCCAGATAAGGCAAAAGTTCCTGTTGACCTCTAATCCTAGCTCCCTCCCTGATACCTAAAGAAAAATGACTGAATTATTTGGGATGATTTTCCTAGATTTTTTTTCCAACGCAGGGTTATTTTGTGAGCTTTATTTTGTTTATTTTACTTTATGGCATCATAATGTGTGCCTTGTGTTGGAACTCACTTTTTTTCCACTCAGTATTATGTCTTTCACCATTTTCTGTGTTGTATGTGCAAAGCCACTTTCACTGACTGTTACACAGTCCTCCAGAGCACAGATGTTCCAGTTTAAATGGCCCTTCCTCTACAGACATATATTAAGAGTATCTCCTTCCCCCCTCCCTCCCCTCTTCCTATCGTTTTTTTTATTAGTCCTCCTATTTAATGAGAACAATCAATATGTCATTTGAATATTTAATTCCAGCTTCATAAATTAAAAAGCTCCTGCCTCATTCTAATCTTGGAAAGCACTTTCTTAGCTTGGGGATTTCCCCAGATGTCTAAGTAGAAAGCAGAGCGCACAGCTTTGGAGAGCCCTGATTCTCTCTATGTCCCCTCCCCACCCCCAACCCCCCAAGGACTGGGATCAGTACCAGAAACCTTCGCTTTTGTTCTTTCACCTCTGCTGCTGATGTGCTGTGTGACCTCAGGCAAGTTGCGCCCTCTCTGGTTCTCCACTTCCTCACTTATGCATAGAGGGGGGTTGGGACACATATACTGTGGAGTCTCTCACAGCTCTGAAGGTCTTTGATGTGAGTGTCCTGTTGTCCTCCGCGGTATATGCAACTGACCACCGAGGCAGGGATGCCTGAGACAGAATTTTCCTTTCCTTGTAGCCTCATCCACAGTCTGCCTCTTGGGGTCTATACAGGGGAAGCTAACTGATGCTCCACATGAAAGGCGGCGCTGACGAGAGACACTAGGGACTGAGGCCTCAGGGACCCGCCCTCCCCCACCTCCACGTCTCCTGGTGCTCCTCCTCCTGTGGCCTTGAGCGTTTTCGCCTATGTATCCTTTTTTTTTTTTTTTTTTTCGCGGTACACGGGCCTCTCACTGTTGTGGCCTCTCCCGTTGCGGAGCACAGGCTCCAGACACGCAGGCTCAGCAGCCATGGCTCACGGGCCCAGCCGCTCCGCAGAAGCCCTCGCCTATGTATCTTATCCCTGTGACTTCTGACGGCTACGTTGCCATAGCAACCAGGCCCACTGAACCATGTTAAAAACCAGTTAGCAGGAAGACGAACACTTAGCTGTCTCGAGAGTCCATCTAAAGGGGCACAGAGAGGCTATTACTCCACACAGAAGAAGAGCAAATCAGGCTGTGTTTCAGAGACCGTCAGATGGGAAGGGTCTGAGAGAGCAGCTGGTCCACATCTCTGGCTGCAGAGCTCACTCGGTTCGAGGCAGGAATCCTCTTGGGCTCTTATTCTAAGATCTTGCTCTTACTGCTTCTTTCCCACCTCTCTCCACCTTTGTTCCACCTCCTTCCAAATTCCTTCCTTTTCCTGCCCTTCCCCCTGTGCCTCCTGCCTCCAAGACGACCCCTGGACTGAACAGCTACAAATAGCCTTGCCCTTCACTCACCTTCCAGCTGCTTCTTCTCCCAACAGGTAAAGGACCTTTAAGAAAGTAAATCAGGGCTTCCCTGAGAGTCCGCCTGCCGATGCAGGGGACGCGGGTTTGCGCCCCGGTCCGGGAAGATCCCACATGCCGCGGAGCGGCTGGGCCCGTGAGCCATGGCCGCTGAGCCTGCGGGTCCGGAGCCTGTGCTCCACAACGGGAGAGGCCGCGGCAGTGAGAGGCCCGCGTACCGCAAAAA